TCCCTGCTGTGACGGGACCCCTGTCCCCTCTCCTGCGTGTGTCCCTACTGTGCGGGGACCCCTGTCTCCTCTCCCGCGTGTGTCCCAGCTGTGATGGGACCCCTGTCCCTTCTCCTTCGTATGTCCCTGCTGTGACGGGGACCCCTGTCCCCTCTCCTTCGTATGTCCCTGCTGTGACGGGACCCCTGTCTCCTCTCCTGCGTGTGTCCCTCCCACCCTGCAAGGATCCCTCGTTTTTCCCCAACATGCACTTCCTAGGGGACAGGGTCCCCAAGAGGGGCTGGCTCCCTCGGGGACATGCTGGGTGCACCCCCTCCTCTGTGCCCTGCAGCAGGGACATTGCCACTGCCCCTCTCTGCCCCCGCTGCCCACTTTGGGACCGGTGGCCTCGTAGCTGTCCTCATTTCTACGCTTGGTGCACAGGGAAGCACTCGGGAAGCCACGGGCCTCAGGGATGCTTCTGCACAGAAGCGCTGGAGACCAGAAATCCAACAGGGAGGCCTTAGACTCCAAGAGAAAAAAAGCAAAAAACACCCTGGAGAAGTAGGAAGAAGGCAGGACGGGAATGGGGTTTCCCACCGCAAGGCCAGACCATGTACCTGCCACCACCGCAAGCCACCGGTGCCACATGGAACCGCTCCGGCCCCTGCTTTCGTCCTGCAAAGCTCACGAGACGGGGTGCAGGCCACAGCTCTTGTGCGTGCCGTGCTCAGATTTAAAACAGGATCATTAATGCAAGGTGCTGGGGCTTTTATAGAGTAATAGCACATGCCCCATTTTTGGTGTGTTTAACTATTTTCCATTACCTGGAAATTAAAACTGTAGAAAAAAGGCGACAGTTACCTAACAAACTATAAATAGATACAACGCACACCAGACTTAGAACACTCACTTTTTTCTATTTAAAAATGAAATAAATGAATGGCATATTTAGCTAGAACTGCCCAGCAAAATCGATTGCAGAGCTTCTGCCACCCTCCTGCTTGCAAATACCAGCGTTTCTGAGCCCGCTGCGCTCGCTCACACATCCTGCACCTTCGAACACGTTGCATGCAGCAAGAGCCATCGCTCTGCATTCAGGGACCCTTCGTTGTCACCACATCAGGAAAAATCCTTTCGCAGTCAATTTTCCCAAGCTGCAATATAAAAGGCCTCCCGGTGCAGGCCGGCACGAGGGATGCGACGCAGTCGCAGCGGGAGCTTCCTCGTCTCACTAGCAGGAACAGGATTCCTGATGGGAATTAGACCCTCTTCTCTCATCCTTTTATTTCCGATATGCAGCTGAGTTTTCTCATTAGGTGTCAGAAGCTCTTTCATATTCATCAGTTTATTAGAGTAGCTCTGTGGAGACAGGGGTAATAATTTTATGCTGATTGAAAGGATTAGTGCAATTTGACACTCGATAATGGTATTTTTGTGTCCCTGTTAGGCAAAAGATTTGCTTTATAAACACCAAAAAATCACATATATTGTTGGGACTGGTTATGAATTTCAGCCAAAAGATGTATTTTAGATTCTTTCTGGTCAGATCTTGCTGGCATGCAGACATAAAGGAGCTAGAGACATGAAATCATCGTCGTAGATCTTGACTATTCAGAAAATGCAGATTACACGTTTCCGTGCCCCGCTTTTGTCCCAGCCGCTCATCTCACACAGGCAACTCTTTGTTCTCCAAATGAGGGAGCAAAGTATTAAACATATTGAACATTTACTAGTTGCTTCTCTATTAGGATTTTTCCTTGCATCTTCATGCACAAAGAAAGTTAAGATACAGTATCCATTAATTCAACTATAACCACCGTTTAGTAGCCTAATGTAGTCATTATGCTCCATATAAAATTTTTATCACAATTACTATATGCTGAGTGTGATGCCAGAATGTGTCAAGAAGAGATTCATTTATATGTAACTAACAAGTGTCTTCTTTCCAAAAAATAGGAGAAAAAAGGCGTATTCTTAGGTGATTATTTCTGGTTAAAAGCACTCATTAACACAGCTCCTCGCTTCCCATCCGCTCCAAACACAAACACGAGTCGTGGTGGTTGCGGCTTTGTGAAACGCTGGGTGAAGGTTTCCCGGAGCACCGAGGATGTGCAGCCCCGTTCCCCATCCCGGTACCAACGCGGATGATGCAGACGGATGAGGAGAGGTGGATTTTTGGCACCGCTCGCTGAGGGAAACCAACACCCTTAAAGAAAGTCCCAGGGGAATCATGGAGCAGAGACGGAAGCACAGGGTGGATCTGCGATATCTGTGTTGGCCACTGTCCTAAATAAAGTCGGGGCTTTTTAAAAGGCCCTTTCAGGACTGCTGTGTAGAAAAAGGCTGGGGACATTATTTGTACATGGGATGTTCCTTGTAATTCACACATGACCTGAGGGCTTGGGGCCTGGTTGACACTGGGTACTTCTATACCACGAGGGAGCTTTGTTGCATACAACTTGTAAATGAAGTCAAATCAAGTTTAAATAAAGCAATATTTCTGAGGAATACACGCACTTATAAACCATTGACTCCATAAACCACTAGCTTATAGGAATTTAGGAGTGGGAAATAGGATGTATATTTTTGAAGATGAGCTTAAATTACATTAATTTCCTCCTGCAGCAGAGTATTATGAATTTAACTGGTATCAGAAACCACCTGGCTGTAGAGCAGCAATAGGAGGATTTTCTCCTGGGTTATTTTTCCTGAGCGTTTGCTAAGTCTCTGAATTCCCATTAATACAGTTTATTGGCATGCTCCCTGCCAGCCCGTTGCCTCCCGCGCAGCTTTGCTGTTGGCTTTGGTGGGAGCTGGACCAGTCCCTTAACAGGCTTGGCCAGTGCCGGATTAATATTAGTGCCCCTCTGTGCCTGCAGAAGGGAGCTCCATGGATTCTCATCACATCTGTCTAAACATAAGCCCCTTAGCCGGCAGCTTAGCGATACGTCTCCCGTGCCACTCTTGTCACATTTAGAAGTTCTCCCCGCTCTGCTCTCGCCTGGTTTATGCAATCATATGTGTTTGTGTGCTCAGCAGGTCATTATGGTCACGGTCCAGGGCCTCGTGCTGTCCCTGCTCTTCATGGTGTGACACGGTGGCTTTGGGGACAAGGGGAGGTTTTAGGGGTTACCCCTGCCGCTGTGACAAGCCAGAGTCCCTCATGCTGCGGCTCGGGACAGCCCGTAACTGCTGCCTTCATGGGCAGGACTCGCCGGGGACTCGTGACCTTCGGAGCGTGCAGGAGAGCGGCTGCCCTGAACCTTTATTTGCAGTTCCTATCAACAGGGGAACTTCCCTCCTTTATGGCCGTGCACCAGAAGACTGTGACAGGGCCGCCAGGAGCTGCCTGTGCTCGTGCACCAGAAGACTGTGACAGGGCCGTAGGAGCTGCCTGTGCCTCTTCTCTTTACTTAATTTATGAGTCCACCACAGTGTCAACAGCTACTGAACATGCACTCACTTTCCCTTAGCTAAGACACAAACGGCTGTCTCCAAGGTGTATGTTCCTGAAATCCCATTTCCAGAGAGCACCTGGTGCTGATATATATAGGCATCTAGGCATGTCTCTAAGTGCTAAAGTCACCACTAAAAGAGCTTGTCCCCAAATCCTAGCGACCTCCAGGTTGCTCTCAGTGCATCCCTAGTATTTCCCCACCCGTTCCCCTGGCCCCATGGAACGTTGCACAACCCACATTCCCACCCCGGGCTCCCAAATCCCCGCGGAGCCGAGCGGAGGCGGAGCAGGGCTCTCCGCATTCCCACGAGCCTTGGTTGGGAGCCGGCATGGACAGGTGCCAGCGCTAATAAATAGGAAACTGGTAGTGACTGTGGAAAGCAGGAAAATTGCAGAACGAGATAAGCCTCGCCGCATTCCCGTATGCTGATTTTCGGATAAGGGTATTTGTCAAAGGGAAGAAAATAGTTATCCTTAAAAGCCTATCTCTATA